TGTCACTCTCCCCTGGATCAGGACCACTGGTGAAGTGTTTAAGATTCCCTGTTTAGACACAGGCTGTGCTCATTAAATAGAAGTGCTGGGCCCTCATGGAGTACTAGAGTAGAGGGAAGAGACAGCGAAGGCAAGAGAGGCAGTGAGGGGCACTTGTTAAGGGCAAAGGTGTGGAATCTGACAGTCTGGGATTCTAAACCCTGCTCAGCCTATGAGACCTTGGGCAAATTGCTGACTGTTTTATACTTCAGTTTCCTCCACTGTAAACATCCAGTGATAATGCTATTGGGTATCTCATATTACTGATTAAATTGTATTTATTTTAACGTAGTTAATAATTTTGTGTGTGTGTGTGTGTAAGGCTCAGTGTGGCTAATGCATCCTGTAGAAGAGATCTCATGTGCTGATTTCCCTTTGGATAATAAACACTTACTTATAAGTTGGTCTTTTCCTACAGAGACCTGCAACATCTTTTTTGTGAAAGCAGAGAAAAGCAAGCAGGATCCTTGGCCTCATTGAGTGTCTGTATTTTCCCCAAAACACATCTCTTTCCCAAATGAAGCTATGAATGAAGCTTTTCCTGTGTGGATACTTAGCAGATATTGTTCTGTAAAAAGCAGTGTTCCTTCAGTTTTAGCTGTCTTACAGGTTTACCCTGTGTACACAGTAAGCTGGTGCTTACATACATGCACACACACACACACATCAATAGTGATATCAGAAACATTTTAAAATAATAGTAATCAAAAGAATGAAAGAAAAGTTAACACTGACAGATCAGTTCTTAATGGCAGGCTCTATTCTGGTCACTGTATATATGAGAACTCATTTAATTCTTGAAATCATCCAGGGAGGTTAATGATATTATCCCAATTATACTGTTGAAATGCAGAAAATCAGAGAGGTCAGGTAGCTGTCCAAAGGTCAGGATAGATAACAATACACAGACTATGACCAGGAAGACCTTATCAATTATTGACTGTTCCAGGACACTCTGGAACACAAAAGGGGAGAAAAACAGAAATGAAAGTCCAGTCTAATTATAGTTGAAGACCAAACATTTTGGAGTACCCCTATCATTTTATACAACTAGTAAATGAATGACTTATTACATTTCTGCTTGAGCAATGTATTGTCCTAAGACTCTCAGGTGATCATTGGTATGATTTAAGAAAGGTGTTCTTAAAGCCATTCATGCTTGCGGTAAATAAAAATGTGTTTGAGCTTCCAGCATGATGAGTTTTACTTCAGAGACGCAGACTCAGCCAATATTTTCATATGCTACCTATAACCTTTTGCAACAGAATTATGATCAAGGCACTGGTTCATTAACTCTCTGATTGTCCTTCCTTACCACAGTTATTAGCTCATGTTCTGACTTTCACTGTAACACATATGCAAGATCGAGAGTTTGAGGATCAGACATCTCTGGAGCATATTTATTGCTGGAGTATGTCTTTGCCTCTTTATGCAGATGAAATCAGTCCCTGACTTCCATAGGTGGAGCAACAAGTCATTGACAGGCAGTTTCCTGGCTGGGGCTCCTGTCTTTTTTCTTTTTTTTTTTTTTAACATTTTTTATTGATTTATAATCATTTTACAATGCTGTGTCAAATTCCAGGGTTCAGCACAATTTTTCAGTCATACATGGACATATACACACTCATTGTCACATTTTTTTCTCTGTGAGCTACCATAACATTTTGTGTATATTTCCCTGTGCTATACAGTATAATCTTGTTTATCTATTCTACAATTTTGAAATCCCAGTCTATCCCTTCCTGCCCTCTGCCCCCCTGGCAACCACAAGTCTGTATTCTCTGTCTATGAGTCTTATTTCTGTCCTGTATTTATGCTTTGTTTTTGTTTGTTTGTTTGTTTTTGTTTTTGTTTTTGTTTTTTAGATTCCACATATAAGTGATCTCATAAGGTATTTTTCTTTCTCTTTCTGGCTTACTTCACTTAGAATGACATTCTCCAGGAGC